ACCCATTTCATAGATACCCTCATAATCATACCTAGTATAATTTCTTATCTTCCTGATGAAGGAGAAAAGTAGCATATTAATTTTCTTTTACGTGTAGACCTATCTAAAAGCATTTAAAAGTAAAAACCACCTGGATGCTGGTGGCTCACACCTGTAATTCTAGCTGCTCAGGAGGCTGAGATCTGAAGATCATGGTGCAGAGCCAGCCTGGGAAGGAAAGTCTGTGAGACTCTTATCTACTCAGAAAAGCCAGAAGTGGCGTTGTGGCTCAAATGGTAGAGCACTAGACTTGAATTCAAAAGCTCAGGGACAGTGCTCAGGCCCTGAGTTCAAGCCTGGGACTGGAGATAGATAGATAGATAGATAGATAGATAGATAGATAGATAGATAGATAGATAGATAGATAGATAGATCTTTACCACCATCTCTCTATATAAAAAGATATAAATGGATTTATTAATTATATTCCTGCGAACAGAAATATAATATGGGCAACAGAAAAATTGAATTATGTTTTATAGCAAGACCTTGTCTTTAAAAAATAATGAATACAAAGGATGGGAAGGGGAAACAAAGGAGGAGGCTACAATGCTTGATAAGAAATGTACTCATTATCTTGCCCATGTAATTGTAAACCCTCTGTACAATATTTTCACAATAAAAAGATAAAAGCAATATTTCAACATAAAAATAATGAATACAGTAATTCATTTTGCTCGTCACAAGGTATTATGATAACCTGCCACTACTGGACATTCCTGGGCTTGTACAAAACTGAAGATGCACATGAACAGGGCTGAGCTGACCAGGTCACCTGTCAGGCACGCATGCGCTTGACCTCAGTTCTGCAGTGTATGGCTCTCGTGTATTTGGATCACTGATGACTATGTTACTATTCTAGGTGAGTTATAACATAAAATAGAAAGTGAAATGATGGAATGTGATGTTCATATTATCTATCAGCATAATGCCAAAGAACAGCCTGGTCTATTTTTTAGGCAGAAAGCTAAGTTTGATCTTTTAGGTCCACAGTATGAGACTGAGCAATGGTCATTAACTCTACTTACAGAAAGGTACAGAAAGGTTGGTGACATGGGTGAGGGGAAGCCTTGGAGAAATCACAAAAGCTGGATTCTATCACGAGATAAATTATTTATACATGGGGCTATTCTGAGCCAATTCTTTGTGCTTGTTTTCTCATTGCTAATGGATACCTATTAAGAAAATATTTATACTTCCTATTTATTAGACTTTTATATGTAGTAAATAAAATAACATAAAAACCACTTAAAGGTAACTCTTACAAGTCAAAAATGAAAGAGTTAATAATTGAGAAAATGAATACTTGGAGAAGTCAAGTTTGCTAAGCTCATTAGATTTCTTTGTTTCTTAGCTACTCACTTGTTCACTTTCTGAACAACTTTGGATTTTATAGGATGAAACACATTCTTAGTATTTTTTCTGTATAAAGACAAACACCACCTTTCTGTCTTCATTTGTAAATATTCATCTTAAATAATTAAAATAACTCCTATCACTTCTCTTGTTCAGTAATTACTGTTTTCTCTTAAGAACTGCTTAAACATTGAGGGTATCCCAATTTGCCAATAAATTTGTCAAAAATTTAATTGTGTTTTTATGTTGGTTACCCTATAATTTAACCTTTTTTCATGACTCATTTCAACTGATTCTCTATTTTTCTCAGCATTCATAAAATGAGCATGATTTGGAAAACATGTCATCAAATGACACCTCTCTCCAGAAATTTTATAAGCAAGTTGGTGCCCACAAGTAATTCCTGACTATTTCCCTGTGATATTCCAAATGGAAGAAAGGTAAAAGTTTATTAAACAAAGATAAAGATATCACGAATGGAGACCTCTATCAACTCCTTTGAAAAATCAGATGAAAAAGGATACCAGATTCATTAGGGAAGAATTACAAAAACACCTAAACACCCAAACTAAAACCTTAAGCCTTAATTTAAGTTTTATAAATGTGCATGAAGTCACTTAACATTCTATTATACTGAAAAACCATGGCTCGATATTATGAAAGCTGTTTCTATAAAAAGCCTCAGTTAGTGGCTGGTTGTATGGTTCCAGGTGACAGCATTGTCTCTGGGATAACTGAGATGTGGGTGTTTAAGCTTCAGTGTAAGATAAAATGCTCTTCATTGTTGTAATCTAAATGAAAGCTCTCTACATACCCCATACACTTCTATTAAACGCTTCTAACCTTTTGTGTAAGACTTCAAATGGAAAGACTGGGTTTCTAGGTCAGCTCTAGATTTAGGGTGTATAAGTGAGCACTGAGCTATAAAAGGCAGGTTTTGGTCTGAGTCAAGTGCTTTCACTTCTATATTACAAAAATAGCGTATGAATAAAATGAGCATAAATTTCCAAGTATCATAATAAAGGTACAAGGAGGTATGTTTTGGACTCTCAACATACTTCTCTGTTCAGTGTGAGAAATAGCAGGTTAAGAAAAATAATGACACAGTGGCATAAGTAGAGAAACTGGCAGTGTTATACACCCTAATTCTGAGTGGAAATAACACTATAATACAGAAAAGGCTAGCCAACAGGCTTTCCAGCAGGCAAGATCATGCCAAACATATTCTTATCTTATATTCAAATACATAATATTAAAATAGTTTATTTGTGTAATTTACCTTGCTTTGCTAATGATACAAAAGAGTTCCCTGTGATTTGCTTTTGTCTTTTGGAAGTAATTTAAAAGACAGGATAATAAATTGCTGATTATTTTTTACATTATATTTTATTTTATTTTATAAGTGACAGGATAGTTTATTAGGAAAGGAATGCACTTTTAATAGCTGAAAGTAGGTCATGTCTAGGGCAAGAAGCACAATTATTTTTATCCTAGCACAAGTTTTTGTAGAAGTGTTAAGGGATTAGAACTTGGTTAAGTCTCTCCCTAGACCAACTCACTGCAAAGACTCTTCATTCTCTGTCCATGGAAGTTTAATGAAATACTTTTGACCTCTAAGGCATGCTTTTCTGGCCTGCCTGGGTCAGTTGTGAATCTAATATTCCAGGGACTATTAGTTGACCCACCGTAGGCTGGAATGAAGTCTATTAGTATTTCTTAGAAGGGCTACTAAAAATCAAATCCCATCTAGTGCCATTCCATGACTTGGTGAGACACCTAGGCTGTTTTTCTTTAAGTTGGAAAGTTTACTTACAATTTTCTCTCAGAGAACTTGTGATCTTATCCTTGCTTTTCAGTTCATTTCACATTTTAAAATTGGAAACACAGAGCTAAAATGTAAAACCTATATTCTAATAACACACATATATCAATTGTAGTTTAGAAGGACATCTCAAAAAGAAGCAGTTATCTACTTGACACTATCTTGCCTGAAAGAACAATGGTGAAGCTTGATGAGTTTAATAAATTTTTAGACTATGGGAGACTGCTGACTCTTGAATACTTAGTATATATATAGTTTTCTGAAAAAGAGATTATAATATTTTTCCCACCATCAGAATAAGTTGATCGTGAAAAATCATACAATGTCATTTTGGAGCAAGAGAGCTGTGGATATGAGCTTGCTTAAATGCAAGATTTCCCTAAGATCAGGAGATAAATTTATTGTTAATTTTGGTGCTTACTAGGAAAGTTTTAAAGAGAGTCTTGCTTTCAAATTAAATTTGGGCACTAAAGAAGAGACAGGAAGGACCTGGTCAGAGTTAGGAGATAATGTTTCAGCCATCATAGATTAAAGAATCAGGAAAAAAAAAACTGAGGAAAGAGACATATGAACCAGTATAGATGCAAACATTTAAACCAGAGAGTCCTTAAATAGACTGAGTCTAAAGCTAAAATTACTTAATGCATTTTCAAACATGCAGACACTACAGAGTATTTCTAGACACACAATGATAATGCATGTAATACGAGACAGGAGCTGGCCTATGTTGGCTTGTATGACACTGGAAAATTTTCAGTGGTATTTTAAGGACTTTTCAATCGAATGTGCTACTATAGGCTAAAGCCTTGCAAAATGATGCTCACTGAACATGGACTTCTTGATGCTTCAATACGGCAAATTAATTTATGATGGATATAAGTAACTGAAAACTACTCTCAGAAATCCCTAACCTCAGTATGTTTGAGGAGTAAACCCTCATCATTATTCCCTTAGGAATACAATCATTCCTTTCCTGTAATTGTCAGGTTGCCGAGCAATTCACAGATTTGATATATTGGGCATGTCCAAGAAGCTTAATTTGTATTAATCACCGCATCCCTAACGCCTAAGCTTTGAATTATTCTGAACGCATATCCACATTTATTTACAAATAATTCCCTGCCCTGTTTTAAAATAACCAATGTGTTTATGGGCCTCTTCTGACAATCACCCACTCATTCACAATCATTAATAGCCAACAGTAAAGTCAACCTCAATTTGCTTTCAACACTAAAACAATTATTTTGGTGATTCTTTCTTGGAAGGCAGTATGGTAACATTATTGTTTTGGTACTCTCAATGTATCATTTGGTAACAGAGATACTGGGCTTCAGTAGGGTATGTATTTATATGAGAAAGAAAAAAGTGCCAGTAGGGTATGTATTTATATGAGAAAGAAAAAAGTGCCTGAATCCGAGGTGACTATTTTCACTGGTGTCTATTTTTATTGGCCTAGTTATAGCAATGTCTCATGTGCAGAGTTAAACTTCTGAAAATAGTGATATAAAGAACAGCAGCAAAGCCGGGTGCTGGTGGTTCATGCCTGTAATCGTAGCTACTCTGGAAGCTGAGATCTGAGGATCACGATTCAAAGCCAGCCCAGGCAGGAAATTGGCGAGACTCTTACCTCCAATTAATCACCAGAAAACTGGAAGTGGTGCTGTGGCTCAAGTGTAGAGTACTAGCCTTGAGCTGAAGAGCTAAGGGATAGCACCCAGGCCCAGAATTCAAGCCCCACAACCAACCAAAAAAAAAAAAAAAAAGAACAGCAGCATTTCCTTACCTTCTATTGCTGATAAGAGAACCCGGGAATGATCATATGCAATTACATTTGCATATCTGTTCTTTGGTTTATTTACTTCCAAGTTTGAATGTTCCCATGTGAACTGTTGGCCAGGGTCAATTGACTTTAAAAGAAAAACAGCACACACAAAATCAATACCGGATACTGCAGAATTATAGGCATTTATCCCAAGTAACAAACATGATTTGAAAATAAATTTCTAAAGCCATATTCTATCAACATGATTCTGTGAAGCTGTCATGAAGGATAACATAAAATGATTAATTATAGTAAGAAACAGTAATTGTCACTAACATTGATACAGATGAATAAAAATCAATATAGACGTTCTATTAACATTAGAAAAGCAGGTTTGTATATTTACTTTGTCACTTCCTTCTCTATTGTTCTAGATTATGAGTTATGTTGGCTAGTTATTTCTTTGGGTTCTGTGAACATTATTTTACCTTTATTCCTCTTCCTTAGTTTTTCTTTTTCTTTTTTCTTTTTTTGGGTCCAGTCATGGGGCCTGAACTCTGAGCCTGGGCGCTGTCCCTCAGCTCTTCAGCTCAAGGCTAGCGCTCTACCACTTGAGCCACAGCACCACTTCCGGTATTTTTTTTTTTGCTTATGTGGTGCTGAGGAATCGAACCCAGGGCTTCATGCATGCAAGGCAAGTGCTCTACCCCTGAGCCACCTTCCCAGCCCTTCCCTAGTTTTTCTTATCTAGACCTAAGCTCAGTCCTTAAGTTGACTGGTCTTTCACAGGCTCCACTGAACATGGGCTGTATGGCTGGCTCTATATTATATGCTACATCTTCATGGGAACTTAAGATTATGTCTGTTTATATATATATATATATATATATATATATAATATAAAATTTTATATTATTACATATATCTATACAAAACATGTATATAAATGCTATACATATAACATTCATATATATAAATGTTAATATGTATTATGTATAGAATTTATAAAATTCTATAGTTAACAATAACAGTAAGGAAGCAAATCATTAAAAGTTCATCATGGTGCCGTGGGCCAGTGGCTCACATCTTTAATCCTAGCTACTCAGGAGGCTGAGATCCAAGACTCATAGTTTGAAGCCAGTGCAGGCAGAAAAGTCCCCATGAGACTCTTATCTCCCATCAACCACTCAAAAACTGGAAGTGGTAGAGTGCTAACCTTGGGGAAAAAAGAGCTTAATGACAGCACCCAGAGCCTGAGTTCAAGTCCCACCACCAACAAAACAATCACCAACAACATGATCACCAACAACAAAAAAAGCATTATGGTAGGAAATTTTATAATCCAAGGTGAGCAGAATCTAATGATGTTTCTATTTATTATTATAGCTTTTCCATTTATCATGGATTGCCATTTTATTATCTAATTTACTTCTCTTTACTCTCTATTTTAAATTTTTATATTTTAAATATTTTTATTTGACATCTTCAGTCCACCCAAATTATTCTACAATCTAAAGTAAATATTACAGATTATGCATATGTATATGTTTATAATTAAGTTGAACTATTATTTTTCAGATAAAATTCATGCTTGATTACAAAACTTGAGGGAATATTTTACTTTCTATGAATGCTACAGTAAAGAAAACACATTTTCCTTCATCATAGGATGCAGACATCATTTTAACATTTCTCATTTCATGGTATATGGCAATATGAGTTAAGTAATTATATAAACATGATTTGAAAAGATCGCAATCAACTTTTCACAAATAACACTCAAATAGGTTTGTGTCCAGGTGAAGAATTTTAACTAGTTAAAGGAAATTTTTGGAGTTATTTTGATGTTGTTTTTCCATGCGTTTATATGTGAAAGTAGAACACATGTAGCACCTCTCACAACATTAAAGATGAATACATGCTGTTAAAAGACAGAATCAAAGTTGAGCACTGGTGGTTAATGTGTGTAATCTTAGCTACCTAGCAGGCTGAATCTGAGGATTGTGGTTTGAAGCCAGCCCAGGCAGGAAAGTCCATGAGACTCTTATCTACAACAAACTGTTTTGAAAAAAGCCAGAAGTGATGCTGTGGTTCAAAGAGGCTTGGGGACAACATCCAAGCCCTGAGTTCAAGCCTGAGGACTGGCACAAATTAAAATTAAAATTTAAAAAAAAAGAGTTCTGCATAATGGAAAAACTCTCAAGCCATTCAAGTTAAGAGGTTTGCATAGTCCCAAACCTGCTGAAAATTTCAGCAGTAGATATTATAGCTTCTCATTTATTAAGGAATATGCAGCTTACTTTCCTTATCTCACTTGTGGAAATCCAGATATAAGAATCAATCATTCAGTGGTTTTCAAAAACAATCAATGACTCTTGAGTTTAAAGAACAGTGATAGTAAAACCTAAAGAACAATGCTATTGTGGTCTAAAGAATAACATTATTAAAGGACTTTCTAGTTTTGTTTTTTTTCAGGGAGATGTGTTTATTTCCTTGATCAGCATAATCCTCTCCAAATATTCTATGGGCTTTAAAAAAACTGAAGCACTCAGAGGACAGAGAAGAAGCCTTCAATTCATCCTTGAACCTTGTCTACTTATAACAGTTCTTTTTGGTGACCAAGAGCCACCTTTGAAATCTTTCACATTCATCTCTGGACTCCCAACTGACATTTTCAATCCAGACTTTCAAATATCTGCAGTCTGACAGAAATCCTTCCTCTATTTTTTCCAAGCTATTCGGCGCATCAATGTCAATGCTGGTTTTTAAGCACAGGTGCAGACTAGGTTCCTGTTTAAGAACTGTTCCTGGCTGTGGGTAAGTTAAGAGCTGAGTTATAAAATCGTTCCTCACAATCTTACCTACATATCTGTAGCCATCTTAGCATGTATACATGTAGCTGGCTCAGTGCATGGCTTAATAAAAGATTTTTTTAAAAATAGAACCTATGATTAAATGTTCTTGAAAAAAGTTCACGATGAGAAACTGTATGTAACATGAAAGTTAGAGAACAAACTTAGGGAATTTCAATAAACAAATGTATCAAAAATCTTAGTACTTAACACTCATTACCATATGGCATAGTAATTAAGTATATAAAGCTGAAATGATAAATAATACTGATACTCCTTTTCTCCTGAGGAACATTAATGGCTACACCAGCCTCTTACACATTATTATTTCAAATATTTTAAGAAGCTACTAAGCTCAAAGATACACAGTGCTTTGAGGAAGGACATTATTTCCTCCAACAGCCTTGCTGTTACCCGGACTAAGATCCCTACCTCTGTATACTACGGTGGTGTGTGTCATTGTGATAGCGGGGCTTCATTTACTAATTCAAAGACACTGTTCACTAACTCATGCTTATTTCTGCTTTTGCCACATATTCTCAGACCTCTGTAGTAATTGCTACACTGGTGCCTTATCTCAGTCTTAGAAGGGTTGAAATCATCTCACAATATGTTTATTGGATTGGAGTTCTCCTACTTTTTTTGGGCTGCAGGAGGGTCAGTCACCTGCCAAGGGACAACCAGACCTAGGGCTACGCCCTGGGCTGGGAGCAGGTCTCTTGTCTCTTGTTCCCCACCATAACCTAGACTATTTGGTCCCTACCTTTAGCCCCCTTTTCCCTATTTGCTAGCTACACTGAAGATTTTTAAAATTGGTAATGGAAAAATGAGCAGGGCGCCACATGGAAAAATGAGCAGTATGTTAATACGTTTAGGCTTTCAGGTAAGCTCCATGAGAATAACTAGCAGGATAGTTATACTAGTGCAGTGTGATTTATGTTTTTCGATGGTTAAGAGATTAGGCATTCTATTTACTTTTCATTTGGCTGCTGAGGAAATGAAAGTAAAGAAAGATAAATGAGATAAATCTTACTGATCACCTTCTTTATGGCAGGCACAGTGCTAACTTAGTGGTTAAGTAATTTGCCTAAATTTGCATAGCTAGACTCAGACAAGTTAGTCTCAAACTCATGTTTGTAGTAATTATCAACTTGTAATTATCAACTGGTAATTACAAAGTCATGATGCTTTGTTAACACTGGCCAGAATGCCACTAAAATATGGAGAAGGCCAACCTACAAAACCCTTCTCTCCAGAACCATCCTTTACCTAGCCAATGCGAGTGATATTTCTTCCCAACTTACCATCCTGTGTCATTCTAGGACAATTATATAAGAAATCAAGTTTTAAAAATGAGGTTGGCTTCACATGGATGATGAAGCAGATGGGCTGCAGCTTACATTTATACTTGTTTTACACGGATCAAACAAACATTGATTAAATAATGCTGACTTGTCTTTGTGCAACACAGCACTCATCCATCTGTATCTATCTGTCTGACTAAACATTTAACGATACACAGCACAGGTCATTGTTTTTCGAGCTTGTCAGAATGCTGAGAGCAGAAAACTCAGTAAAGAAGAATAAATCCTGAAAGTTGTTGAGGTGTACTAAGTTTACTTCCCCCTTCCCCCCACAAAAAAAGACTCATTGAAGGAAATCACATTTCTATTATCTAACTAAATAAGCCAGCTGTATCATCGATGACTAAGACCCTAATTCTTAAAACTCACTCTGTAGGTCTTACTTAGGGGCCAGAGATGGGGTACTGCTTTGCCTTCTTTTGTCCTTGGCTTCTTTGTTGCTGGTTCTTGAGGTTGAAGAAATGTCTGACATAGAGAAGGAAAATCCAGATCTTGACTAAAACTGGAAGTGGATTTCCCCTTTACCTCAAATTTTGGCTAGTCTACTGTGACTATTCATCTTCCTAATATAAAATCAAGCTGGGGGCACTCAACTGTTTTACAAAGCAATTTAAAATAAGCACTCTGCCCAATGGACTAAAATTAATACTTTCTTTGCATTTTTCACAATCTTGTCTCTACTCTTTTTTCATCACCTGGCTTCATCTACCCAAACAACCTTCTGTTTGATAATCATGTCTTTTCAGCTCTTCAAGCTAACATACTGCTTTCCTGAGCTAGAGTCCTGGTTAGGATTTCTTCAGGCTCATTTGAGGAGAATTTTGCAAGTTGGCAAAGAGTAAAGTATGTTTATTCAACCTAAAGTTGATCACAGGATTTATCCTACACTATGAAAAATTTGTACATAATTTATAAACACAGGTACTCAT